CGTCATCTCTTCCCCCCTGCCAGGCGAGGGATTCGGCCTCCGGTTGCAGTCGTCAACCTCGTCCCCACTGTTGCTCGACCACGCTCGGGACGACAGGTCAGGTACACGGTATCAGTAGCCATGATGACGAGACGCACTTGTATGCTGGTATCCAAGTAGCCGCTTAGGCGGCACAACCAAGCGTAATTCAATTTGGATGGTTATTCTGATGAATGCTGATACCCCGACTGCCCAGACTCCGAGAAGTTCCACTACATTTTCAGATGCGCCTCGCAGCGCACGCCACGCCACTTTCGTCGCGGTCCTCGTGGCGATCAGGGGGTGGCTGCAGCACCTCTTCTTCTGACCAAGTGCTGCGCGGGCGGCTGGGCGGTTTGTCGGATTCCAGACTTTGGTTGGTTCTTCTTCTTCTTCTTCTTCTTCTTCCTACCTTCTCCTATTCCTCCTCCTCCTCCTCATCATCCTACTCCTCCTCCTCCTCCTCCTCCTCCTCCTCCTCCTCCTCCTCCTCCTCCTCCTCGTCGACCTCCTCCTCCTCCTCGTCCCCCTCCTCCCTCCTCGTTGACGTTCGGGGACCCTAGATCAATTGGGATCGTAGCGTCAGGACGGTATAACAATATGTAGCATGGCATCGACGCCGACTTAGGGCGCGGTGGCCGCGGCCTGTACATTAATATGCAGGCGTTGTGGAGGAAAAACTGCAACGCGAGCTGGAAACATGACGAGGTGCCAGCAAGGGCATAGAGTAGCTGAGTTTGCAGAGCTGTGAAGGAGTATGAGGAGCACAGCCATAACCATAACCATAACAGAGTAGCTGAGACTGCAGCCTGTGAAGGAGTACGATGCGCACAAGCTGTGGTGAAACCCGTGCACAGGCTGCTGTCAGTCGTGATGCTACCTGGCCTCCTCCATAGCTACTTCCTCCCCACCATCACTGGGTAACGGAGGCATCGCGTGGGCTATGGGCACTTGTTTATTTTTTTGCACGAGCAAAGCAGAGGCTGGGGCAGCACTTGAGACGCTTTCTGCTGGCGGTGCGAGCTCAAGGGAACTGGAGGGGACAAGGTCGAATAAAGAGAACAAGTGAAGGTGCTGGCGGCTGAGGGCAGGTGATGAGCTGGGTTGTATGCAATTGAACCGTGCGTTGGGCTTCGGGCGTGTGCGCGGGCTGCTGGCAGTGCGAGGCCAAGGAAGATGGAGGAGGACAAGACCGAATCAGGAGAGGAGGTAGTAGTGGGTGTTGTAGTACGTATCCGAAGGGGAGCACCACTGTGCTTCCCAAGTGTGGTTTAGATTGTGTAGGGAACTGAACCGTTTGCCAGCGTACGTCCTGTGATCTTGGGACGCAAACAACAAAACGAACAGCAGGGAACAGCGTACTCCGTGCTCGACTCGGGGTAGGGGGCCTCCTCCTCCTCCTCCTCCTCCTCCTCCTCCTGCCCTCCCTCCCTCTCTCCTCATCCTGCCTCCTCCCGCCGCCTCCTCCCTAATTCTCCTCCCCTCCTCCTCCTCCTCCTCCTCTTCTCCTCCTCTTCCCGCCTCCTCCCTCCTCCTCCTCCCGCCTCATCTCTCCTCGTTTTTTTCCTTCTTCTTTTCCGCTGTGCTTCTCCTCCGTTCTTCTCTTTCGTCCTCCTCCTCCTGCTCCTCCTCCTCTTCCTCCTCCTCCCTCCTCCATCCCGATCGGCTCCCTCAGCTGACAGGCGCAGCTGGGCCCTTGGTTCGACCTCCTGCAAGACAGGCTGCGCATCTTTGCCGCCGTGGCGGAGTCCGCCATGGACATGGCGGAGCAGGAGGAGGACCACCGCAGGAGGAGGAAGGGGGGGAAGGTGGAGGAGGTGGGGGCCCATTTTTTATCCCGAGCTGGTTTTTGACATTCCAGTGAGGGCCCCGAGGGGCCGAACATCGCCAAAAGGCTCTCGCCGTGACGGCGCGAGGGGCCTCGGCTGCGGGCTAATGAGCACCCAGGGGTCCCAACCGGCCGATGTCGGAGAGGCACCCAGCCCGAGCCCGGGCCCCCGACGTCGTCTTTTTTCTTCAACGTGGGCGCCAGGGGTCGGAGACCAGCAAAAGGCATACTATTGTCGACAGAAAGAGTGGTCCTAGGGCTCTTGTGTGGGGTCTTGTGCGGGATGTCCTGTGCGCGTCTTGCGCGCGATTTGTGCTCGCACATTTGTTGGACACATGCTTCTCTGCACAAGTCGTCTTGTGCGCGTCTCGTGCGCGACCACTCTTCGCTCGACCATTGCTTCTGTTAAAAATAGTAAACAAGAATCTGTCGGAGGACCGCGCGGATGTCTTGGATCGGCGCGCCAGGGAGGGGGGGTCGAGAGCGCCGACCCAAGAGGTCCGCGCGGACCTCCCCTCCGCACGTTTTTGCGCAGGCTGCTGCCGCTCCCCGTTCTTCGCTGAGACGCCTGGGCCCCGTCCCGCTGGCTCCTTCGAGACGCGGGCCCCTAACCTCGAGGCGCCGAAATCGTCAGATAGAACACCCTCGGGTGGGGAGGATGGGGTTGGGCGAAAGCATCAGATCCTCCGCGCTGTCGCACATGCTGCGTGTGCTCCTTACACAGTCGTGCCGTGCATCTTCCCAGCCCCGCCCTCCCAACACGAGAATCGTTTCTTTCAAAAGCGAGGAACAAAATTCCGCGCGTTTTTTTCGTGGCGCCAGATGCCTGGGTGGCCTGGCGGCCTCGGGAGCCCGAAGGCGAGCGGGCCTCCAGAGGTGCAGCGCTCGCGCGACGGGCCAGAACGTCTTCCGCGGCCGCTGGCAGACGCCCTCTGCTTCCGGAGGAGGGAGGGAGGGCGGGAGGGAGGGAGGGAGGAGGAGGAGGAGGAGGAGGAGGAGGAGGAGGAGGAGGAGGAGGAGGAGGAGGAGGAGGAGGAGGAGGAGGAGGAGGAGGAAGGACCTCCCTGGGGGAAGCGGCAGCGTTCGGATAACTCCATTGCCGTCAATGCCTCATTGCCTCAGGAGGAGGGAGGGGGGAGGAGTAGGAGGGAGGGGGGAGGAGGATGTAGGGAGGGAGGGGGGAGGGAGGGAGGAAAAGGCGGCGACGTCGGCGCTCCGCCTCCCCCCCCTGAATCCCGACGTCATGTTTCTTCCATGACGTCGACCCCAGAGGTTTCGATCTACTTCCCGGGACTGTTCTTTCATGCCGAGTCGTTTTTTGACGGTCCCGAGGCCCACGCAGGGCATCCAGCATCTGAGCACAGCGAAGAACGAAGAAACGTCCGTCGTGCTTTTCTCTTGACACGGGGGAGAAGGGATGATGATGATGATGCTGATGATGATGATGATGAGGAGGAGGAGGAGGAGGAGGAGGAGGAGGAGGAGGAGGAGGAGGAGCAGGAGGAGCAGGAGGAGGAGGAGGAGCAGGAGGAGGAGGAGGAGGAGGAGGAGGAGGAGGAAGAGGAAGGAGGAGGAGGCTCCTTCTCCGCCCACTCCGCTCCGCCAGCTCCCAGAAAGACCCCCAGCTCCGCCCCCCCCCCCCCCCCCAGGAAGAGGAGGAGGAGGAGGCGGAGGAGGAGGAGGAGGAGGAGGCTCCTTCTCCGCCAACTCCGCTCCGCCAGCTCCCGGAAAGACCCAGCTCCGCCACCCCCCAGGAAGAGCCAGAGGAGGAGGAGGCGGAGGAGGAGGAGGAGGGAGACGGAGGAGGAGGATGAGGATGAGGATGATCATGATGATGATGATGATGATGATGATGATGATGATGATGATGATGATGATGATGATGATGATGCTGATGATGCTGATGATGATGATGATGATGATGATGCTGAGGATGCTGATGAGGATGATGATGCTGCTGCTGCTGATGATTGATGATGATGATGATGATGATGATGATGATGATGATGATGATGATGATGATGATGATGGTGATGGTGATGCTGATGACGACGATGATGCTGATGACGATGATGCTGATGATGACGCTGCTGCTGATGATGATTATGATGCCGATTATGATTTTGATGATGATGATGATGCTGATGATGATGATGATGATTCTGGTGATGATGATGATGCTGCTGCTGATGGTGGTGGTGATGATGATGATGGTGATGATGATGCTGATGATGATGGTGATGATGTATATGATGCTGATGCAGCTGCTGCTGATGATGCTGATGCTGATGATGCTGATGCTGATGCTGATGCTGATGCTGATGCTTATGCTCATGATGCTGATGCTGCTGATGATGCTGCTGCTGATGATGATGGTGATGATGCTGATGCTGCTGCGGATGATGATGATGATGATGTGCTGTTGTATGATGATGGGGATGATTGATGATGATGATGCTGATGCTGTGCTGATGCTGATGCTGATGCTTAGTGCTGGATGCTGATGGATGCTGATGATGATGATGATGATGGATGATGATGATGATGATGATGATGATGATGATGATGATGATGATGTGATGATGATGAAGATGATGCTGGGATGAGGATGAGGGATGAGGATGAGGAAGGATAAGTTGGCTGTGATGAGGAGGAGGACGAGTAGAGGGGAAAGGGGCAGTGGAGGAGGATAATGAGGAGGAGGTAGAAGTGGAGGATGGATCTAGAGTGCGAGGATGAAGCGTGGAAGAGAAGAGGTTGGAGGAGGTGGAGGGGAGGAGGAGGAGGAGGGAGGAGGAGGAGGAGGAGGAGTGAGTGGAGGAGACGAGTGGAGGAGGAAGGAGGAGGGAGGAGGAGGAGGAAGGAGGAGGAGGAGGAGGAGGAGGCGGAGGAGGAGTAGGAGGAGGAGGGAGGAGAGGAGGAGGAGTGTGAGGAGGAGGAGAGGTAGGAGGAGGAAGGAGGAGAGGGGGAGTGAGGAGGAGGAGGTAGGAGGAGGAGGAGGAGGAAGAAGAGGAGGAGGAGGAGGGGGGGTAGCAGGATTCCGCATGCCGCCCCGCTGACATCGCTGATTTCCGCCCCCGAGCCTTTTTTTTTCCGGCTGCCGTGGGCGGCCGCGCGGAGCGCTGGCCCCAGCCCGCGGCGCCCGCGGCGCGTGCGGCGCGCGGCGCGCACGCGGCGCGGGGGAGGCCGCCGCGGCGACCCCGCTCCCGGAGGGGCTTTCTGGGCTAAGTCGGGCCTGCCCCCCTACAGGCGGAGGTGTCCAAAAGGAGTAGAAGAAATAGCCAGTGGACGATGTTTCAATCATGTTTCGACTATTTGTGAATAGTTCCCCACATCCTGAGTGGGGTTCTTGTTCCCCACATCCTGAGTGGGGTTCTTGTTTTCCCAGAACACCCTCTCCTTCCCACCCACCTCCCGCTCCATCTTCCATACAGCACAATATCAGTTCCTACCACACATACCATACCATACCATACCATACCATACCACACCATACGTACCATACCGTACCATACCATACTACTTACATGGTTTCGTGCCCCTCCCACCCCTCCAGGGAGGCCCCGCCTGAGCGAGGAGGGTATCGGAATACCATACTATTTACATGGTTTCGTGCCCCTCCCACCCCTCCAGGGAGGCCCCGCCTGAGCGAGGAGGGCATCGGCAAACCATACTATTTACATGGTTTCGTGCCCCTCCCACCTCTCCAGGGAGGCCCCGCCTGAGCGAGGAGGGTATCGGCAAACCATACTATTTACATGGTTTCGTGCCCCTCCCACCCCTCCAGGGAGGCCCCGCCTGAGCGAGGAGGGTATCGGAATACCATACTATTTACATGGGTTCGTGCCCCTCCCACCCCTCCAGGGAGGCCCTGCCTGAGCGAGGAGCGTATCGGAATACCATACTATTTACATGGTTTCGTGCCCCTCCCTCCCCTCCAGGGAGGCCCCGCCTGAGCGAGGAGGGTATCGGAATACCATACTACTTACATGGGTTCGTGCCCCTCCCACCCCTCCAGGGAGGCCCCGCCTGAGCGAGGAGGGTATCGGAATACCATACTATTTACATGGTTTCGTGCCCCTCCACCCCTCCAGGGAGGCCCC